CCAAAGCTCCACAAACTAGGTCTTGGACTCGGCCGGGCTCTGATACCACTCGGGGCTCGACGCTCCACCGTCATGATCGTATGCCATAAGCAGGTTATTGATTTCTGTGTTTTTTTTTAAATGCCAAAAGGGCAATATTTTCCATCTACATGTGAGACGTGTATGAGCCTATGTCTGATTCCTACATGGTCGACAGCATATCGAGAAGCTGATGCAAAATGAAATGTCACCACTGACATGATGAATACAGACTTTCTAATAGATCAACTGTACAGTGTTTGAAGCAACATCTGAGATATCATAATGATGTCTCCCTATATATGCCTGAATAAGTACAATACTGTGTAAAACTCTTTGGTCAGAGTTCCTTAATTCTGTTCCAGTTTGCAACACAGTTTCTATATTTCCCTACTCAGACATAAACATTTAACCTGGCAATTCACTGATTAAGATGTATCTTAGCAGGGAAATCTGAAAACTGTGGATCCTGGCCCCCCAGGACAGGAATTGGGCAACTCTGTCTTAGGCAGTCCAACAAAATGATGATTAAATGATCTTCATGTTGGTGTAAAACTATGATTTTATGTCTGTCAAAGTGTGTCAGCTGAGCCATTCAAAAGTCTTCCCAGTGTTTGCAGTAACCATGTAACACACCCATGTCATTTTTGGCTAATTGGTATTTCATTTAGTTATTTAACTAAATAAGATTTATCGATTGATTAACTATGCTGGTGGTGAAATTGAACAAATATATAGAATGGCTGGGGTGCCCCAGAGGAGAGTTTTGGGAACTGAAGTGGTGTTCATCTAACCATACAGCTAGATATCAGTAACTTTTTGAGAAAGAGGAAATTCTTGTTATTTTTTATTATGTCATTGTTCATTTGCATATATTCTATTGCTAAACTGTGCCTAGCAGTAAAATAGAGCAAATGTACTAGGGATGGGCATCACCAGTAACCTCCCGATATATTATCACGATACCTAGGTGCCGATTTGATATGTATTGCAGTTCTGTAAGTATTGCGATTCTATGAATATTCCGATTTGATACTACAGTTTATTCACATTTTTTTTTTCCTTTTTTAGAATTTTACAACCTTGAACCATCTAAAAAAAAAAAGTTGAGCCATACTGCTAAACTGAACATGGGTAAATGGAACATACTCCAAATAACTCCAAATAATTTTCCTTCTCTCTAAACCAAAGGCAGCATTTAAACAATTTCAATGCAAAACAACTTCAATGTCACGCTCCGCTCCGTCCGCTCCTAATGTGTGCCACGCCCACCTCATTACCTCCTGTTTCTCCCTTAAAGGGGCAGTCCCAGACCTGCCTGCTCCGGACCTGTCTGCTCCGGACTTGCCAGCAGCACCGCCTGCTGCTGCTGCTGCTGCTGCCGCCGCTCTGCCAGCAGCACCGCCTGTCCTGCCTGACCCGCCTGCCCAGCCTGTGGTCCCTGCAGCTGCCGCCGCTCTGCCTGCGGCAACGCCCGAGGTGCCCGCCGAGGCGCCCCCTGCTGGCCGCGTGATGGCGGCGCCTGCTGAGACGCCCCCTGCTGGCCGCGTGATGGCGGCGCCCGTCGAGGCGCCCCCTGCTGGCCAGGAACTGAGGGTGCCCGCTGCAGCTCCGCCCGAGGGCCTGGCTTTGCCTCCGCCTGCAGTGGAGGAAGCCGCTCTGCCCGTGGTGCCCCTGCTGGCCACATGACTGAGGTGCCTGCCGAGGCACCCCCTACTGGCCGCACGCCCGAGGCGCCCGCTGAGGCGCCCCCTACTGGCCATGTGAGGGCGGTGCCTGCCGAGGCGCCCCCTGCTGGTCGCACGCCCGAGGTACCTGCCGAGGTGCCCCCTGCTGGTCGCACGCCCGAGGTACCTGCCGAGGCGCCCCCTGCTGGTCGCACGCCCGAGGTACCTGCCGAGGCGCCCCCTGCTGGTCGCACGCCCGAGGTACCTGCCGAGGCGCATCCTGTTGGCCACGTGACTGCGGCGCCTGCCGAGGCGCCCCCTGCTGGCCACACGCCCAAGGTGCCTGCCAAGGTGCCCCCTGCTGGCCAAGTGATGGCGGTGCCCGCCGAGGCGCCCCCTGCTGGCCACACGCCCGCGGCCCTGCCTGAGGCCGCCTCTCCCATCCAGCCCGGCTCTCCCGTCCAGCCAGTCCTGGTCGTGGCTCCAGCTGCACCGCCCGCGGCTGCACTGCTTGCGGCCACGCCCGCGGCTCCGGCTGCACCACCTGCAGCCACGCCCCCTGCTTTGCCTGAGCCTCCACCCTCAGGGACCTCCCTCTTGACTCCCTCACCCTTGCCTCAGCGAGGCCGACACCCCCAAGGACCCCGCCAGTCAGTTTCCCGTAAGGGACGGGGACACAGGCATCGGGCCCGGGTCCCGCCCACCCTGCTCCCTGGCTCGCCTATTCGGCCCCTGGCTGTGGCTCGGTGGCTGCCTGCGGGTCCTCCGGCTCGGGGTTGGCAATTGCCACCCCAGACGAAGTCCTTGCCACCCCTGTTGCCACCCCGCTGAAAACATTACACTGTTTGATTTTTACGAACATTTCTCAAATCTCCCAGCGAACGTGAATGCATCCTTACGCAGCACGCACAAGCGTGCAGCGTGCTGTTGCTACTACACTTTTCATTGGTTAAGCTGGGTCGCAGACCGAGGTGAAATCAGTTTTAGGTTGGATATTC